TTTTTACGTGAGATTATGGAGGAAGGACAGTACAGTGACGACCAGGTGTTTAACATGGACGAATCTGGTCTTTTCTGGAAAAAGCTACCTTCCAAGTCCTTCGTTGTGAAGAATGCCAGCAGGATTCGGGGCCGGAAAATGCAGAAGGAACGCATCACCGTCCTGTTTACCACCAATGCCTCCGGTACCTGTAAGCTCAAGTTATCGGTGATCCACACAGCCCGCAAGCCGCACGCCTACAAGAGCATGGACATGACCAAGCTAAATGTCCACTGGCTGACCGCACGTAAGGCATGGATGTTCTCTACACTGTCCCTCTCCTGGTTTGATGACTGTTTTGTTCCCGATGTAAAGAAATTCTGTGAGCGACAGAATGTCCCATTTAATATTTTGTTGCTGCTGGACAACGCACCAGGACACTCGCCCCTACTGTTAGATCGTCACCCCAACGTAAAAGTGGTCTTCCTTCCTCCCAACACTACGTCTTTAATCCAGCCCATGGACCAGGAGTTGATTTGCAATGTGAAAGCTGCATTCTCAACAAAAAAATTCCAGCTCCTGAACGACTACACCAACACCAGGGAAGAGTTGCGTAACCTGAGTGACACCACCACCGATAGCAAGAGCGAAGAAGATGAGGATCAACAGTTAGAACAGCAAAAAATACTCTTCAAACAATTCTGGAGAGTATTTAACATCAAGAAAGCTGTGGACTTCTTGGTGGAGTCATGGGATCAGCTGTCTATTGCTACAATTCGTCACGCATGGAGACATGTGTTGCATGGAATACCAGGTGAGAGGAGGAGTCAATCTGTGACTGGTGAGGTTCAGAATGTTGCAGTAGCAGTGGACCTTGCCAGAGAAGCTGCGCAGACTGTTACAGTTCCAGGCTTCTCCGAGACCACCAACGACGACATCCTGGAGGTGATCAGAGATCCTGAAGTGACTGCCGACGAGATGTTGGAAGAAGAACACGTCAGTGAAGAGGAGGAAGAAGGTGCGTCAGTCTCCGAAGAACACAATTTAAGTCATAGTGATATTAAGGGTGCCATGGAGTGTGCAGAGAAGATGAAGTCCTTCCTTTCCCGCGACAATGACGATGACCGCTATGAAGTCTTCCATACCCGGCTGGTGCAGGCTATGGAGCCGTACATCAAGGTGTATCACGACAACATCAACGCCAGCCGTCAGCAAAGCATAATAGATTTCTTCGCCCGCAACCCACCACAGCCAGCCCAAGCCAGTGATAGTGGCAGTGAAGATGACTTTGAGGGATTTGTCAGGGAAGCCCTGACAACTGTAAGTGACAGTGATGGTGATTCACCTAGTAATGGTGATTCACCTGAGGGCCAGTAATCTGCCCTCTCCCTCGGAACCAGCCTCCATCCCCGTATGCCGACCCATCTCTTCTACTACCGTGAGTGTTACACCTAATTTTTAGTTTTCTAACCTAACCTTTATTTTTCCTATGTTAACCTTTATCTTTCCTAACCTAACCTCTTCTATATTACTTGTTTTTTCATACCATCATAAAGTTAAGATAAAATTTTTAACAAAACATAGTTGTGTGTCGTCAAAAAGTGGAGTTTGGGAAACGGCCCGGACTCCATTTCAATTAATCCCATATGTTATGTTATTCACTTTACGCGGGACCCTCCGGGTTACATTAACCGCGTAAAGTGAGGGTTAACTGTAGTAATAATAATTATTGTTATTTTTAATATTATTATAATAATAATAATAATACAGCGACCCCTCCGTTAACGAACTCAATCCGTTGCAGAAGGTCGTTCGTTAACCGAAACCATTGTTTCAATGGGTTTTTGGGTAATTGGTTCCAGCTCAACGAAAATTTCCTAAATTCAACAAAAATGGAAGAAAAGTTCACTTACTTTGAGGTGTGTATGTAGAAGGCTCCAGGATGATGATGATGATGGGATTTAGAATGGGGGTGGAGGAGAAGGAAGAAGAGAAGGCATTGGGGTGGAAGAGAAGTCACCCCATGGCGCCATTTCACCCATAAAATTTTAGCTCTCTTGATGTAATTCAAGATTATTTTCTTTAAATCAACACTGCACTGCATTATATATTGTCAATATGTAAAATATATTTCAAAATGACCAATAATTTGCTTGGAAACACAGAAAAAAAGCGTTTAGTTGAAGAGAGTCTCAAGCAAGATGTTACCTCCAGTGAAAACAGAGAGAGACTAACACCTGTTTGCTGTGTTAAGAGGCTGGATGCCGCGCATTAAACTAGTCACTTTACCTTCAATTATGTTCAATAATTGTTAAAATGACTAAAAAATTGAATATTAAACTTTTAAAATTATTGAATAGTATAAACTTCTTGATATTTACTCAAATAGTAAGGAATTTAACCCCTAGAACTGATTAATGTATTGGCGGACTGATACTAAAGCTGGTTGCCCGGTCAGTGCAAGCGAAAACATGTTGAGGTCGGTTCGTAAGAACTTCGTTAACCGAATATTTTTTCGTTAACCGAATTGAAGATCCTTATGGAAGGCAGTTCGTTAATCGAAATTATGTTAACCGAGGTGTTCGTTAAACGAGGGGTCACTGTAATTATAATAATAATAATAGTAATACAGTATTATTAATAATAATAATAATAATAATAATAATAATAGTAATACAGTATTAATAATAATAATAATACAGTCAACCCTCACTTTACGCGGTTAATGTAACCCACAGGGTACCGGAAAGTGAGAAACGCGTAAAGTGAATAACATAACATATGGGATTAAATGAAATAGAGACCAGCTGACCCCCAAACTCCACTTTTTCCAACACAATACCTATGTTCTAGTAAAAATAACATCTTAATTTTATGATGGTACATGCACACAATTAATACTTAAGAGAAATAGAGAAATACAGTCGCCAAGTTAATGTCCATTCAAATAATGGACACGACTCCCTCCCCCTCTTCTCACACTACACTGCTGGCTCTTCCCTCTGAGAAATTTTTGGGGGAAAACCAGGTATAGTAATAAATAATACCTCAAACTAAAGTTAGGATAATATAATTGACATTGCTGGATTCCTTGTAAGACCTGGAATATTTTGAATATAAATGCCATATATTTTTCACAAAAGATAACATATTTACTCAGAGCAATCATTACATCTAAAATTTGTATGTCTAATGCAAAATCTATGATGTTTATATTCAAAATGATCATCAAATTGTAAGAATTCCAGCAATGTAAATTATATTCTGGCCGGGTAATTTGTATGAATTTTATGAGCTAAAACAAATATCTTCAGTTAATAAAAAAAAAATAAATATTCTTCACGACACTATCTGTCAATCAAAGTACCCCACCTTGCCTCCCCCCTCTTCCAACCGGGCGGTCAGTCCCAACCCTCCCCCCCACCAACCCTCCCTTCAAGAGAAAGAGTGGGTGAAAAAACTAGATTTTAACATTTAGTATTAAATAATACCTCAGATTAAAGTTAGGATAATATAATTGACATTGCTGGATTCCTTGTAAGACCAGGAATATTTTGAATATAAATATCATATAATTTGCACAAAAGATAACATATGTACTCAAGAGTAAACATTATATCTAAAATTTGTATGTCTAATGCAAAATCTATGATGTTTATATTCAAAATGATCATCAAATTGTAAGAATTCCAGCAATGTAAATTATATTCTGGCCGGATAATTTGTATGAATTTTATGAGCTAAATAAAAAAAATTATACTTCACCCGTGTAAAGGGGTACACCCACCACGGAATGTGAGCATCCTGGGTTCTGGCAGGGCACCGCGTAAATGTAGAAACGCGGAATGTGGGACCGCGTAAAGTGAGGGTTGACTGTATTAATAATAATAGTAATATTAATAATAATAATAACAATGATATTAATAATAATAATAATATTAATAATAATAATAAAATTAACAATAATAATAATAACAATAATACTGTAATAATAAAATAATAATAATAATAAAGAAATACAAGAATGAAAAAAGATCAAAATTGACCTCGACCTAGGAATTATTATTATTATTATAATTATTATTATATTTTAGCCCCCAGGCCCCAATGTGAGTCAGTGACCTGTGCCCAGATGGTCTGATCCCTGTAAAAAAAAAAAAAACAACCATTCCAAACGAAATCCTCCGAAAACCGAAATGCATCTGGTCCCAAGGATTTCGGATAAGGGATTGTCAACCATCTAACCTTGATATATCTCTGCACTGCACACTGACAAGCAAGAAAATAAAGCAGACATATAAAACAAGCATAATAAGCACTAAATAAGCAATGTAAAGCATATATTGCGACTGTTCTTTACCTGTGTTAAGGATGGTAATGGTCGAGGGTGGTAAATTCAAGTCTTTACCACTCTTATTATGCCTTATCAGAGACTTTATCACCCCCATCAAGTTGCCCAGCACAAGAGGAACTATCACTGGGGTGTTTAGGCATGATTGAGTAATTCACTAAGTCAGAAATAACGAAGAAACACGAAGTCAGAGACACATACTACATGTAAACAAGAGCAAAGATGGTGGGAATGAGTCATAGGCAGTGTACAGAGCCCTCTGGTGGCAAGAATTTGATCAGAGGCAGTGCACAGAGCCCTCTGATGGTAAGAAATTGCACCACACCAGCTCTCCTTATTGTCGGGTCTCCGGGGTATCAATGAAACTTGTGGGGTATTTCCCCTATATGAAATCGTCAGTTATGCAAATTGGTGGTCAATGGAACGTTGGTTATCAGGGTTCACCTGTATTGTATAAGCAAACCATTGATTTTTATTAAGATTTCATTAAATTACTTAAAACGTCTGAATCATTTTACCTATTTTACCCGGCAGAAATCATCTGGAACTGTGTTTTAACATCATAATAAAAAACAAAATAAAAATTTAATGTTTAAGATATGAACAAAATTATGAAACAAATCAAAAGTCTATTAAAAACTAAATTAATATTTCCTAATACTATACATCATCAACTACTTTCTACATACCCAATTTTAATTGTGGATCCAACTTTTATAATTGGTTTATTACATTCAATATCTTGAGTAACACTGAGGTTGTTCTTCTCCTCCTGGTACTGATCAACAGCATCATTTAACAGAGTTTGTAGTTCCTGGAGATAACACAAAAAGTAAACATTAATTGAGGAGGTTTCAATACAGTACTATTAAGCCTCTTAGTATATACTCACTGCATTAGTTTATTAAAAAAAAAATAAATAAAAAAAAAAAATAAATAAATAAAAAAAAAAAAAGCTTTCAGGTTAAAGTAAATAAAACAGATCGACAAAATGCCATGTAATGTAACTAAAAGGGTTGTATAGGGTCAAGAAATCAGTCCCAGATGAAGGGAACACCTTATGAACATGAGGAAAAATGTCCATGGTGAAGGAACAGCACATATTTCATGTTAGAGCACATGCTTTAACCAAAAACTACAATTGCAAATTAATGCCTTGAAGCCCCCAACCTCCCTGTGTTTGATGCAAACACAGTAGAAGTCCAAAAATCCGGACTGCTTGGGGATTGGGTCGGTCCGGATTTTCGGATTTTCCGGATTCTCAGGCAGTACTTTTAAAATTCAAATTTAAGGAGGAATAAAGAAGAGATGAACAGATACATTTTGATAGTTATTCATTAGCAAATATAGCATGCTTCATTTATCAAAACGAGCAGTTTTAAAGAAAAAGCTGTGAATTCTAGAATTTTATTCTTTGCCTTTTTTATATCATAAATTGTAGACTTTCCAATGTTGTATGTTTCCATTAGAACAGTACTGCTCACACCACGTTCTATTTTAAATATTTAAAGTTTGTCACTCAATTTCAACGTGTTCTTTCTCTTCACACAACGAAGTTTATCTACTTAAGGAGCCATTATTATGGGCTCTGTAAATGGAAAGAGTAGGACTCAAAATTACATACGTTGTCACAGTTTGATTGCTTGTTTTAAAGTGGCGACCGCGTGGTCGCTTGTTGTCGCTGTGCAGCTGTGGCGCTCACGCATGTGCACATACACACAAAAGCCAGCTTAAAAAAAAAAAAAAAAAAGAAGTGAGTTTTCGAAAATTCCGGATTCTCGGGTGGTCCTGATTTCTGGCATCCGGATTTTTGGACTTTTACTGCAAATGGAACCCGACTGGGAAGCTTTCTATGATACTGAAAATTTTCCACAAGACCACTCTTCAGTTGAGTGAAAGAATAAACAGCTTCAGAGATAATCACTCAAATCAGGTTTCTTCAAATGTTTATACAGTAGAACGTCGATTTAAAGCGATTCAATTTAAGATTATTGATTTAAAGCGACACCCACAATTAAGGACAATGCTTTAATTTAAAGCGAATCTTTCCGATTTTGTGCGAGTCAATCTGGCGCATCATGTTTAACATTTTGCGCCTAATGTTTCTCTGGGCACGTTACACTGTCCTAAGGGCAAAGCTGTACTGTACATGTACCCAAAATAATGTACTAAATGATAACTAAAATTTTTGTCTAGTGCAAACTATAGTATGTTTAATTCAAATTAATCACTATCTTAAGAATTCCAGCAATGTAAATTATATTCTCCCTGGTCACTTCTGTGACATTTTATAAGCAAAAAACATAAACTTAAGCTAAATGACATAAATAAACAAATAAATACTTCACTAGACCTTCTGTGCTAAATGTCAAACATGTCACTGTCACTCCCCCCCCCCCCTCTTCCCAGCCGGGGTTTGGTGCTTTAGGCTTAAGTTTTTATCTTATATAATATCACAGACAAAAGTTAGAATATAATTTGTATTGCTGGAATCCTTGCAAGACAGCAAATAATTTGAATATAAACGTCATATATTTTGCACAAGAGATAAAAAAATTTGCTCTGTAATAAAATTCTTAAATTAGAACTAAAATTTGTATGTCTAATGCAAGCTATAGCATGTTTATATTCAAATTAATCACTATCTTATAAGAATTCCAATACAATAATGCTAATTATATTCTCCCATGTCAGTTGTGACATTTTATATGAGAAAAACTTAAAAGTCACTCTTAAGGACAGATAAATAAATCTTGCCATCCTGTCAAACATATCACCTCACCTCCCTCTCCCATCTTCCCAGCTAGTAAACAGACCATTTCACATCCCTTAATTTTAGCTGTGTTGATTTAAGAGTGTTTCTTTTAACATAATACTACAAAAAACAATGTTTTGTGTATTCTAGGAGATGGGCTGAGGTGCTCATCTACTACAGTATAATGCTAAAATGGATTAAGATTTGAAAATATATGTTGTTATTTTTTCAAACTAAGTACAATGCGTCCGTATGTAAAATAGTACAGTATAGTAGTAAGATTACTACTGTCTGTACTTTAGCTATGTCTTTGTTTCTTGGTTCTGTAACTGTGGTTTTAAAAACTTAAAACTGCTTATATCATTAGATTCATATACAGTTGAGTCTTCATTTACGCGGTCAATTGAACCCGCGGAGTGCGGCGTAAAACGAGAAACGCGTAAATGAAATAACAGAACATATGGGATTAATTGAAATAGAGACTGGGCCGACCCCCAAACTCCACTTTTTCCGACACAATACGTACCTTGTAGTCAAAATAACATCTTAATTTTATGATGGTATGCACACACAATTAATATTAAGAGAAATATCAATAATATTAGGTTTTTTAACACTTACATTAGTAGAAAAGATGGCTGGGCACACGGGGATGGGGGGTTGGTTCCGAGGCAGAGGGCAGATTATTGGCTCTCACCTGTATCACTTGTATCACTATCCACCACAGAGGCTTGCAGGGCCTCTTTGTCAAACCCCTCAAAGTCCATATAAGTCCATATCCTCACTATCACTGACTTGGGCCGGCTGTGGTGGGTGGAGGGTGAAGAACTCGGTAATGTTTTGATGACTGGGCGACCTTGTGTGCACCCTGCCCGCGCCGCTTCCCACGTAAATGACCAAATTTGCCGCTAAATCAAGCATTTCAATTCTGGCAAGGCACCGCGTAAATGACAAAACGCGTAAACCAAAACCGCGTAAATCCAGACTCCACTGTACTGTGAATGCACTGAAAAACTGGAATCTTGATAGTTTCATATTCAGTTATATCAGAAGCAGAAATTCATACTTAGTCATAGCTACTGTAGAAATTGGGAAGAATTTTGCCATTTGTATATTGTACTGTATATCTGAGTGGCTTGGCACTGCCTGTGCATTTTTTTCAATTTCAAATTAAATTTACTGAGGAAATAAAACATTTTCAAATGATTTTTACATTCTGCAAAGGAGATCCATGAGTCTTACTGCACACCCCAAGTGCTCAAAAGATGTACAGTATATTTTACATTCCGAATAAATTTAAGGTTTCTGTTGAATCAGCCAATCTTACCTCATTAAGCTTGCTTGTTATTTCTATATAATTTTTATTTTTACTCATATATAGGTATTAGTATCGGTATTGGCAAAATATCAGCCATTTCAAAATATCGGAGAATCGATATCGGCTAAAATGTTGGTTTTGGTACATTCTAGATATAAACTATTTATTTATAAGCCAGTTAGAAGTACCTTCATACAGTTTTGTCTACTCTGAAGTTATCAGTTGCCAGTTTGTATTTTGAGTTACTTTTTTTGACAAAGAAATCTCAGAAATTTCATAGATGCATTGAGGTACCATATGTGAATGTTTAAATTAATCAATTGTAATCAATCATTGAAAGTGCAAAACGTCAATGATTGTTGGCACTGTCTACTCAGGCATTTACTGTTAATAAGTACTAATTCCAAGTCATCTTTTTGTGATGCTACTTGCAATAGAACACTGTGTATATGATTCAGGTTAATAACTCTGTAAATACCTAGTACAGTAAACCCTTGTTATTCGTGGGGATTAGGTTCCAAGGAATGTCGCAAATAGGCAAAACCACATATAGCAACTTATACTACCTTGGTGCACTACTGTATACCTATACCAAACAACTGACCAGCCATGGCAGCACTCATCCCCTCTTTTAACTTATCTTATTATAAAACTTTGTCAGGGTCATCATGGACTTATGCCCTTTAAATTTCACTCTACTAGCATCACTAGCACTGACACTAGGCAGTCTTTGAAGGGCCATTTCACACAGAAACCATTAAGTTTTGAGAGTACAACACGAGATGCTGCATCACAACCAATGGTTTAGCGCGAACAGAGGGAGAGGAGATGCTGCGGGTGCGTGGGGTGACTCGTTGCACTGCGGGAAAAGGCTCCCAAGCTAGCCACCATAGCCCCCACTGCTTATCTGAACGGTTTAAAGAAAATCAGTTGCTGTTATGTTATTACTGCACTCAACAACTAAAGTCATAAAATGTATAACAAGGTTATTAAAAGAATATTACATCAACAATAAAAAAAATATGAAATAGAATTCTCTAGGTTTGAAAATCACACTTAAGTCTGGTTGTCAACAATTGTTTTCACCGAGATGATTGTTATTTACTGTAAAGTGTTAATTGCAAGCAACTTAGTTAAATTCAAAAGTAATGAAACTCGTTATTTACCAATTACACTTTTCAAATTAGATTATTTCCACCAATTACATTTCAGGAAGCAATCATTCTGACAAATTCTAAAATAGATATGCTAGGTCTCACCATTTCCTTATGTGTCATGGAAGCCACACATCCACAACAATGCTAAAGCTGCCTCCCGAAAGCTGGGAATGCTGTACAGATGCCGTAGTTACTTCACTCCTGAGCAGTTGCTTCAAGTTTATAAAGGATTCATTCGTCCTAACTTGGAGTACTGCTCTCATATCTGGGGTGGCTCTTCTTTTGTCCAACTATTAGACAGGGTGAAATCAAAGGCAAGGCCATGGGCTCATAACACTCATCTTGCCCGCGGTGCCCACTGTTTCTCTGTGGATGCTGGTCACACTAGAATAACCCGTTATACTACACCCTTCTTTCCTCACACAGCCAAACTGTGTAATGGTTTGCCTTCTGCTGTTTCCATACTCATACAATGTCTCACTTCAAAAAGCTGGTTTTCCGGCATCTTCGTGGTGTAGATTAATAAAGGTAGATTCTTTTTCTTTTCTATTTTTAATTTCCCTTTACCCTTACTTTTTCGCCCCCGAGCCAGATCAATTGGTGCAGAGCACTTCCGGGAATGAGAGATTTCTAGGTAATGAGACAACTCTCAAAGCCGGGAAAAAAATCCCTCATCCCAGGAATTTTCCGGGCAACGTAAAACAATTTAATGAAAGTTCCAGAATGATGCATTATTTCATCTCTCAAAGCCGGAAAAAATCCCTCATCCCCGGAATTTTCCATGGAACGGAAAATGTTTATCGGAAGTTCCAGAAATTGCACATTACACAATCTCTCGAAGCTGGAAAAATATCCACCATCCCCGGAATTATCCGTGGACCAAAAAATTTTTCTCAGAATTTCGCGAAAATGCCCGATTTTCATCTCAAACCCGGAATAAAAAAAACCATCACCGGAATTTTCTGGGTACCGGGAAAATTTTCTCAAGAGCTTTTCCAGAAAATGTGCCCCTTGGAAAATTGTTCCCAAAGCCGGAAATTTTGGGGAAAATTCCAGCTCTAGGAATAAGTTCCGAGAAAATTTCAATTCCGGCTATGACAGAGTTCGGGGTTTGAGGGATTCTGGCTAACGGAACTATTACTACAGTACAGTAGACCCTTGACATTCACGAGTTTGCAATTCACAATTTCGATTAAATTTGCGGTAAGTAGATGGTGGTTACGGTGGCTAACTTACAAGCCTTTTCCCGCAGCACAATGAGTCACTCCCACATAGCATCTCGTGTTGAACTCTCAAAACTTTAGCGTTTCTGTGTGAAATGGCCCCTAAAAGACTGCCTAGTGATGCTTGGAGTGAAATGTAAAAGGCAGAAGTTAGTGATGACCTTGACAAAGAAAATTTTATTATTTGATATGTTAAAAGAGGGATGAGTGCTGCCACGGCTGGTCAGTTGTTTGGCATAGGTATACAGTAGTGCACTAAGGTAGAATAAGTTGCTATTCGCGGTTTTGCCAATTCGCGCCATTTCTTGGAACCTATCCCTCACAAATGGCAAGGATTTACTGTACTATAATGATAAAAATAAGAACAAATAAGTGTAGAAGTATAGTGTATGTGGAAGACTAATAAGAACAAATAAGTGTAGGCGTATAGTATATGTGGAAGACAAGTGTTTATCTGGGAGCAGCTGGCAGAGGGCAGGGTGGGTGGGTACTCCCTCCCCCTCTCTCCCAAGATTTAGGTTCATTTGGTACCAGTTTGATAAAATATTATCCGAAAAGAATCCGCTTTCCTGAAAAAAGAATCCCACAGTGAACACAATGAGTCATTTTTTTACAAAGGGCAAACAGCTGATTGGCTTACCACAATGTGTCTTCAACACTTAGTAAATTAGTACAATACAGTAGTTTATTTATCACCACTTAATAAATACTACAGTATTACCCCGCCTAACGCGGTTTCACTTAACGCGTTTTATCATATACGCGGTGCCTCGCCAGAGCTGAACTTTCACTTAACACGGATTTTTTCCACATATACGCGGTGAGTGTCCGGCTCGAGACGCTATTTTTAGATTTGCCCCACCCTGCCTGACTGCCTGTTTTAGCTCATAAAATTCATACAAATTACCCGGCCAGAATATAATTTACATTGCTGGAATTCTTATAATTTGGTGATCATTTTGAATATAAACATCATATTTTTGCATTAGACATACAAATTTTAGATAAAAATTTTTCTCAAATTAACTATGTTATCTTTTGTGCAAAATATATGACATTTATATTCAAAATATTCCTGGTCTTACAAGGAATCCAGCAATGTCAATTATATTATCCTAACTTTAGTTTGAGGTATTATTTATTAAAATTTAGTGGTTATCCCACACATCTCCTTGGGACGGTTGGTGGGGGGTGGGGGGGAGGGAGGGACCGACCGACCATCTGTTACCCTGTGAAGAATTATTTTTTTTTTTATTAACTGAAGATATTTGTTTTAGCTCATAAAATTCATACAAATTATCCGGTCTGAATATAATTTACATTGCTGGAATTCTTATAATTTGATGATCATTTTGAATATAAACATCATATTTTTGCATTAGACATACAAATTTTAGATAAAAATTTTTCTCAAATTAACTATGTTATCTTTTGTGCAAAATATATGACATTTATATTCAAAATATTCCTGGTCTTACAAGGAATCCAGCAATGTCAATTATATTATCCTAACTTTAATCTGAGGTATTATTTAATACTAAATGTTAAAAACCCTGGAAGGGAGGATTGGTGGGGGGTGGGGGGGAGGGTTGGGACTGACCGCGCGGTTGGAAGAGGGGGGGAGGCAAGGTGGGGTACTTTGATTGACAGATAGTGTTGTGAAGATTATTATTTTTTTTATTAACTGAAGATATTTGTTTTAGCTCATAAAATTCATACAAATTACCCGGTCAGAATATAATTTACATTGCTGGAATTCTTATAATTTGGTGATCATTTTGAATATAAACATCATATATTTTTCATTAAACATACAAATTTTAGATAAAAATTTTTCTCTAGGTAACTATGTTATCTTTTGTGCAAAATATATGACATTTATATTCAAAATATTCCTGGTCTTACAAGGAATCCAGCAATGTCAATTGTATTATCCTAACTTTAGTTTGAGGTATTATTTATTAAAATTTAGTGGTTTTCCCCCAAAAATTTCTCTGAGAGGGAAGAGCCAGTGAGTGTAGTGTGAGAGAGGGAGGGAGTTGAGTCCATTATTTGAATGGACATTAACTTGGCGACTGTATTTCTCTTAAGTATTAATTGTGTGCATGTACCATCATAAAATTAAGATGTTATTTTTACTACAACATAGGTATGTGCCTTCAAAAAGTGGAGTTTGGGGGTCAGGCCGGTTTCTATTGGAATTAATCCCATATGTTCTGTTGTTCACTTAACGCGGATTTCACTTAACGCGGGACCCTCTGGGTTCAATTGACCGCGTTAAGTGGGGTACAACTGTACTGTAGTTTATTTATAATTACTTAATAAATAATATTATAGTGTTTAATATTGTGTATCTGCATATACCCTGGTTTAATCATTAATCATTTGTCTATGTGTACAAGTAGCCAAATTGAGCCATCATGTAACACTTAAAGGTAGTAAATAGCTTTGTTAGGAAGGCATCTTCATATCAAATATTACATAGTGCGTTAGTGTGACCCCTGTTGTAAGCTGATCTGCTGAAAAAACTCACACGAATGCATCTTGAGTAAATAACTTTCTGACACAACTTAACCTTTTATTTTCAAGTCATATTACAGCATACAGTAATGTATTTTTCTCTATTACTTTATATATTATTTTAATCATGATAAACCATAAGAGGCCAGTTATATGAGAATATAATACTGAATAAATAAATAAATAAATAAACTTGATGAATGTGAAAATACTGGATCAGCCCCAGCCTGCTTACATACTCAAGTTTCTTAGCTCTCAGTAGGCCTATAGCAAATCTGATTAGACCACTGTACAGTACGTATTCAGTAAGTGTGGTTCCTTTCATAAGATATATTTATTAATGTTCCCCATTTCTTAAAAAAGAAAAAAAATTGCATTTCTGGTGACCAGAGCACCTCAATCTGAAAAAACAAATTCCAATATACAGTATTGAAGTCCGATTTATTGAGGTTTTACTGTACCTGCTTCCAATTTCTTCTTATTATTCAGCTTTTTTTACATCTTCAATGCTTCTTCATTCACATCATTTACAGTACTTACCAAACCTTCATAATGGGCTCCTAAGCTTTATAATGGTGCACAAAAGGTTATGCCACACAATTCCATATTTCTCACATGCCTTACACCATTTACTATGACTTACTGACTTATTACTACTGTACATACATTGATTCATTTATTTGCTTGATGTGCATCAATATTGCAATGATCAGCATCACCTTCAAATACAGGGGGTCCTGGGTTACGAACAGGTTCCGTTCCTGAGGACGTTCTTAAGTCAGATTTGTATGCAAGTCGGAACACACACTATATAATAGCCTAAGCCCTTATATACATCTAAAAATCACTTAATTTAAAACAAAAGAAGAAATAGGATGACAAAATACAGTACAGGAAAGTAAAAAAATAATTCATCAGGTAAATAAAATTACGTAAATTTCAAGTTTAACCCCGTTCGTATCGGCAGGCATTCATAAGTCGGGGACCCCTGTAGATATAAAAATTCAACTGTTATTTCATGAAGATTTTTGTTAAAATTTCTGAAATTATGAATAATGTACTGAGATAAATCAATGCTCTTACCTTCCAATGAGAATAGTTCATCCATTTGGCCGTTCTAGAGGGACCAGAGGGTGTGTCAATCACACATCTAACTGGTCTTATCTCCACAACCAAGAGCTTTGATGGATAGATCTGTAAATAAAAACAAGATACTGTACTAATAAAATGAGAAACTGTTCCCCTAATCTCATTAATCCCTTGCGTATGGGGTTGTCACCGAGATGAATAAAATCATCCCTGTTGTGAAGAGGATGAACCATAGCATTTAGAGGCTACAAAAGGAGCTTATTTCCTCCACCACATACTGAACTTGGATTCCTTATTTCCAAAAGAATTGGGTCTCTGAAGGATATGTACAGTACTCTATGGCATCATTCAAAACAGATAGATCACTAAAAACAATACCACTGGTAACTCCATTTTCACCAACTCACTACTGTCCCTGCCACTTCTATTCTTTGACACCAAGGATATGGCTGGGTTTTTGAGCATTATTTGACCTCACTAGTTACTTAGAAACATGTTAAATAAGCACATAAATAAGAGCTTCCAACTGTTGTATACAAGACAACTTTTTCCTTACCTCTTGAAACCTGCAAGTCAAATACAAGAATTGCAACTTTACAAAAACATTCTACAAAAGATAAATGTCTTCTTTTGAGAATATCCCAAAACAGGTGGAGGAATTGTATTTCTCATAATATAGTTTTCCTGGTTCTTGTTAGGAGTAAGCATGCTCCATCCACCTGACAACACCATTTGCACTTCAACTGCAGAGAAACACTTCCCAGCGACCTTCCATAGCCACCTTATCTAACCTAATATAAATTAACCTACCAAACCTAACCTAATACAGTATAATAAATACTAATTCCATCCTTCAAGTAGTTTAGGTAGGTTTGGTTGGTTCATCATATCTACAACAAATCATGTAGACAGTATAATGGAAATAGTCGATATGGTATCACTGGGAGCTAGTGCATCAGCAAAGATTCATGCTCAGGAAAAAAAAGAACACATAGTACAGTACAGAAAACTTATCACTTAATCAACACGGGGTTTAGGTTAAGGAAAACCCTGTGAAGACCCAAAACTACAATGTTCACCTACAGGAAGCCAAAATTGACAAAACAAAAAATTTAAAACACTCCCATAACACATTTACTTCTCACATATGGTCTTCATTTTTCTCATTTTATAATTTGATATTATATTTTCCATATTTCTAAGCCACATTTGAGTATTGCAATGGTTTTTTCGCAACTTTTATAGTTTCATTACAAGTAACAATAAGTAAAGCCAAGGCGCCTCGTCTGGGCTGGCGAGTCGGTCACATAATTAATACCACACACACACACACTGTACCACAGGTTAGGTTAGGCTAGGTTAGGCCTACTTTTCAAGGTGTGACAAAACACTTTTCTTTACTGTATATTATTTATATGCATGTCTAGATTATGTATGATTGCATTTGTATGCAGTTCTATTGTGAAACTTAAATTTGCATAGTTGTTAGGTTTGGTTAGGTCTAGAGGGTAAATTTGGATTTACGATCAGTCTTCTGGAACCTAACCTGATTGTAAGTAAGGACTGCCCTTATTTATAATTTTAACCCAACTTAACCTTAGTTGATAAGAAAAACAAGCAGCAGAAGCAATGTTAGATAACCTCACCAACCTAACCAAAGAAACCTACCTAACTTTACCAACTTCCTGGCCGGCATTTCAGTCATCCAAGGAAACTTAAGAATTTAACTAGTGGAACCAGTAGTTTAGACAAGTCCCTCGCAAATTATTCAAGTTACATTAAGTTGGTTACGTTAGATATCCAATCTATATTTTTCCAATGTTTTTTTATGTGTTTTGAACTTTTGAACGATTTGGACCTTCATATCTGTCGGAAACCACTTGTTTTTGCGATTTCGTATTATTGCAGTTTCGGCCAATAAATGGACGACTATTTTAACCATCGCCAACCTTTAGATCTCCCTATTTGAAGTATTTCTGGTCAATATTTAGAAAATTACACCAGGCAACAGAATATTGAGTCATATATGGGGAGACAAATGAAAAATAAATAAAAATAATTTACTCTACGTTTCCGTCGGAAATTTTTTAGTTTTCGAGTACAGTACAAGTAAAATGTAATGTACAATATTTGGCCAATCAGCATGAGTGTTGACATGACGTCATAGTCGTGCACACCAATTAGCGGGAGTGCTGATGTGACATAATACGCGTGCGCTAATCAGCTTTCGCGGCCAGTTGGAAGATGGCGTCTGTATGAGGTGGATGTACATTGCCTGGCTGCCACATTATTCAGTGCATTTTGGACAATGAAGCAGCAGCTATTGTCATTTTTAGGGCTCACGGTGTTTTTTTTCATCCATAAAGTGTCCGAGATGTAATTCAGTGTCAGTAACGTGTAGATACCCATGGTAAAAGATGGACACTGACGAAGACGCCACTTCCTCATTCAAGTTGCATCACTCTATCTTCCTATATCTCTTACTTAAGGTAAGTTTCTTGCACACTAGGGGTTAGGTTGTCAGATAGGTTAGGTAAGATAGGTTAGGTAGGTTGGGTGAGGTTAAGTTAGGTAAGGTAAGGTAAGGTAAGGTAAGGTAAGGGTAAGGTAAGGATAAGGTAAGGTAAGGTAGGACAGGTTAGGATGTGGCCTGTTAGGTTAGGTCAGGTAACCTAACCTAACACAAAAAAAAAATAAAAAATTATTTGCCCGAGATAAAAGTCAGAATCGGTATTATTTTACTCTGAAAGTTATAAACTACTGAAACATTTAGATCTCCCTATTCTGAGCATTTTGAACCCCGTATACAGCTGGCAGAAATGGATAATAGCGGCGCAATTTAATTTAATTTATTTTAGTAGTTTTCAGTCTTTGTTATGAGATGTTAACGGCGCATTACGCAATAATGACTGACGTCATCCAGTCGTGACCAATGATGTATCGATATCACGCGTTTTTTTCGATCAATCACATTTGATTTTTTTTCAAAGGAAGCAGCCTGGGTAATTTCATTGACCAGTCTCACAATGGCTGTGGTAGAAGTTGGTTGTCATTTGTGCCCCTACGATTATTTTAAGTTTATTGCCGAGTTTTACGAGAGAGACGATCATTCTATCCAATTTTTACGTATCCCTGGTCCTTCCACTTCTAACTAAGGTATTGTAATTTCGGACATAAGAACATAAGAATGGAGGAAACTGCAGAGGGCCTATTGGCCCATACTGGGCAGTCCCGTTTACACCCAACCCCTATTGCTCATATAAGCATCCAACCTATGTTTGAAGCTATTCAGCGTATTCGAGTTAATGATGATATTTGGTAACTTGTTCCATTCATCCACAACTCTGTGTCCAAACCAGTGTTTACCTATTTCCCGCCTAAATCTAAATTTGTCTAATTTAAAACCATTGTTACGAGTTCGCTCCTGGTTGGATAGTTTGAGTACCTTTGTAATGTCCCCTTTGTTTAGCCCTGCCTTCCACTTATACACCTCTATCAGGTCGCCCCTCGCTCTACGTCTCTCGAGGGAGTGCAAATTAAGATGCTTTAACCTGTCTCTATACTCAAGGTTCCTAATGCCCGGGATTAGTCTTGTCATTCTCCTCTGAATTCTTTCCAAGGATTCTATATCCATTCTGTAATACGGTGACCAGAACTGAACTGCGTAATCCAGGTGTGGTCTCACAAGAGCAAGATACAGTTTTAGGATGACCTCGCTAGTCTTGTAACTAACACTCCTTTGTATGAACCCAAGTACTTTATTAGCCTTGTTACAAGCAAAAACACATTGTTTACTTGGCTTAAGGTTCCTACTTATCATTACTCCTAAATCTCTCTCACAGTCGGATTTCTCTATGGCATCGTTGTTCATCTGGTATCTGGTTTCCCTGTTTACATCTCCTATACTGAGTACTTTACAAAAAAGAGCAATTTCCGCCAAAAATGAAGGTCAGATTCGTTTAAAACACACCAAAATACACTGGAAAAAAAATTGGTCAACCCCTAGGGACTCATGTCCTAAAGTAAAAATTTACCTCAGAATCTTCTAAAACAGCAAGAAAACTAGCGAACAAATTTATTTTTCATGTAAAAAAATTGATGGGTAGTAAAAGAAAAATGACCTAAACATCAAAACAAATAATGAGTCAGCGGGTCACTCATCAATATTAACCAAGAAATGTCTTTGAATTGTCTAAACTATCGGAAAATACCAGTTTTTAATTATCAAATCGATTATGGACTGTAAGGAAAATAATACCCCTCTTCCCTTTGCATTATCAATACTATACTTGGAATGATGTGCGCCATAATCTTCTTGGCTACTGAGCTAAGGTCAAGGGGCTGGATACAATGTTAGGTGGGAAGAAAACACACACGGCAGTACTGTTCCACATTAACCTCAATTGATCTACAACAGGATTCCACAAAAACTTATAACCTCATAGAATTAGTAAAGAAAGAGTACCTTAAGGTAGTCGATGTGTCTCACAGACATCATGAAAACGTCGGCTAAAGTACCGCTGTAAAGAGACAATCTTTCGCTATTGTCATTTTGAACTGTTTGTGTTTTGACTGTATCAACGTCCGCCACGTCCTCACACATCCACATTTTAATTACTTTTTAACTTGACATAAAAACCTCTTTCACATTAATCTCTCGTACTTAAGCTGTCAGGGTTTTTTTTCACTGGTGTATTTACGTTCTCAGTGTCACAGCAATTTTGTTGCGACCTTCATTTTTATTGCTTATTCTATCATTAAAAAAGAAGGGATTTTTCTCTAATTATCATTTATCATTTCCTGTACAGTGAATATATCTTTGACAGTGATACCGGAAAACCAGAAATAAAGTTGTCATCATTGTGTTATCCAGTGTGAGGGTTGCCCGGGAAATACATTTCCCCAAAACTAGTGCAAGAAAACTGTTGCTAGTTTAGCGGACAGTTTTGGTTTCATGTTGCTCAATAATTGATGCTTGACGTTGTAGTGTAACGGGCCGAGTTTTCTTACTTGTCAAAGAAATAATGCATCAGTTGTCTTATGAAGTAATGAGTAATAGTTGTTGAATGGTATAAGTACTTGGAGTTGTTTAATGGTATAATAAGTATTTGGACGTGGTGAATGAGGTAATAAGTTCTTGAAGTGTTTGATGACTTAATAAGTTAATTGTGGTTCTGTTTTGTCTGAGTGAATCTAAGATGCATCTTCTCCACTCACTGTGTTAATAAATATTGAATTAGTAATCTACGAGTATCACCACTCTACTCCGTCTAAACATTGGCTCCCAGAAAATAATACTTACTCACGTGCCTATACATCTACCACACTACCCAAAACCCTTCCATGAGTTATGTTATATAATCAAAAGTCTGGGTGGTGGCAGCTACCCTGTGTAAGTATGAAAAGAGTTGTACTAAGAGTAACATGGTTCCCCAGACTCTTCCGGCGTCAGACACCACTGATTCTGCAAGGACAAGACATCGATCAAGTACGCACCTACAGGTACCTTGGTCTACCTGTGCGAGCCACTACCAGAGCCACGACCTCCGCTGTCGCCGCCCACGTCATCTCCCAGTGCCGCCAACGAACAAGGCCCCTCCAGTCCCTCACTCACGGCCTCAAAGGAGCCTCTGTCAGGGTCCTACGTCTCATGTACATTGCCATCGTCAGAGCTGTCATAGATTATGCCTCTCCTGTCCTTGTAGTTGCCTTCCAGCGCGAGAAACAAAGCATAGAGAAAATCCAAAACAGAGCGATGAGACTCATACTCGGCTGCCCTATGACCACCGGAATAGAAGTCATGCAGCGCGAACTAATCCTGCTTCCCGTCTGCGATCGAATTACTGCTCTCAATGCCATCCTTGGTGTTAAACTTCTTCGCAGTGAGCAACCGACTCCCCTGTTGCGCTCACTGAACTCACATCTTAACACCCTCCTGCGCCGGCCTGTCCCCATTACTTTCCCCCCTCCCTCTCAACTCTGGCCTGTCCACACTGCTGCTGACATCCTGCGTTATCACCTCTACACCCCCTCGACCTCTCTCCCTCCCGAGTACACTGTGGGGTTTTTGGGATGTTTGGTGTTCACTCAGGATGGGATGGAGAAAGGAAACTCACAATGTGCTCTCATGTATACATGTTGTATTGGATGTACAATGCAGCTTGGTGCTGGGAAGGCAGCATGGTTACAAGCGTGATGTAGAGAGAGCTGGTTGGTGAGGGTGCTCAGAGGAGGACAGCTTGTGGGTCGCCATGCTCGCCGGCGGGAGCGAGGACCGCCAGGCAGGCGGAGGAGGAGCGAGGGCCGCCAGGCAGCGGCGGAGGAGGAGGTGTTGCTGGCTGGTTGGTGTAGGAGAAAAAAGGCAGGTCACCACGAGGTCAGGTCTTAAATAGCGGGGGTAGGCGTGGCTTAGTAGTTGACCCCCGCTCCGTGATGTATGGCGGCGCTGGTTGACCCAGACCACGAGGGGAATTGGTGGGGTCGACTACTCAGCGACAAACAGCGTTTGTAGGGGAGAATTCCACTACAACACTCATCCGCCTCTACCACCGTGGACCTCCCCGTGTGTTGATGTTGTCGTCCACACCTTCCCTGCTCGTAAATCCACCCAACTGAGGTATATGCTCAAACTTAACTGCCTGGAGCAGATTAATGATGTCGCTTCCTCTCTAAAGACCTCCCACCCTCCTATCCTGGTCTACTGTGATGGGTCTGTTACCACGCTGGGCAGCGCTGGGGCAGCTGCGTGGATTCCTGAGCGCCAGGCCTGCAGGAAAATCAGGGTCCACGACTGGGCCTCCTCCACTGATGCTGAAAGCATAGCCATCCTCGCGGGCATTCATGAGGGGGCGACCTATGCTCGCACTGAACGCCGGAACCTCCTTATAATCAGTGACAGCACTTCTGCGCTAGCGAGGCTCAAATTACCCTCCCCCTCCTCCCCTGCCGCCCAACACACCCTAGCCGCCGTTGCCGGGCTAGAACAAACTGATGACATCCATGTCAAGTTTCTTTGGATCCCGTCACATGTAGGAAAAACTGCCTGTGACACTGTTGATCGGCTTGCCAAAGAAGCTACACAAGAAAAAGATATTGAAGCCACTCTCGCCCTCTCCCTGAATCATCTCAAATCTCGCATACACGCCACACAACGAGAGGCATTCAACGAAAATTGGATACACCTGAAACAACGGGGTAGCATCACACTATGCCACTATGACGCTGTAACCGGTGACGACAACCGCCACTACAAAGAATATCAATCCCTGACTCGATCTCAACAGCTTATATACATGAGACTGCGCCTAGGGTACAGGTACCTATGGGAGTAAATTGGCAACCCTGAGCCTCACCGCACTGTTTGTAAACTTTGTGGCCAACCCGACTCTCACACCCTCTCTCACTACATCCTCACTTGCCCTATGACCTCCTCCTATAGGTCCCCAGCCGTTACCAACACCTCTTCCCTCCCAGACTAGATATCCCTCCTCCTAGTCACAGGCCTGGCATTTGACATTATTAGGGACCTGCCACTCTTTGCCATAAACAAATAAAATGTACCGGGAACTTTCCCCCCACACACATTCTCTCACTTTATGTAACTTGACAAAACCTATGACCCTTCAGGCTTTTACGCCCTTAATGTACGAGTCATAAAGGCAAGTATGAACTTTTCATACTTCCCTGTTGGGCGCTGTAAACGCTTCTGCGCTTCACCTTGCACAGGATGTAAGGGGGTGCCCAATAAACTAGCCCCCTCGGGGGCAATTCTGAATCTGAAATCTTCCCCAGACTAACCCATGTATAAGGATAGACATAAAACAAAGTATCCTTCCGAAAGGTAAGAACATTGAAACTGAGAATATAATATATATGAAAGGAAATGAAAAGAAAGAACATTGACTTGGAAAACATAAGCAGAGAAGCATAAGAAGTTCCTCATCGACACAGGTTCATCGGTCAGCCTCATCCCTCCCTCACTACAAGACAAGTCAAAGCAACCCTCTTATGATCTGTTCGCTGCCAACGATACCCCCATCGCCTCCTACGGCGTACGCACCCTCGCCTTAGACCTCGGTCTGCCCAAGACTCTGCATTGGTTATTCGTGATAGCAGACGTGTCTCAACCCATCCTTGGTTTCGACTTCTTCACCTTCCACAAGCTCGGCGTCAAACCAAGTCATCTATGCCTCATCCATGAGCCTACAGCACGCAAGATCCAGGGTTCTCGTGCCAGACACACCGACACTATCACCTGTCTTGCGCCTTCTAACGGGTTCTCCTCCCTGCTCGACGAATTCAAGGAGCTTTTCTCACCCCGAGTCTCTCTACCCCCACCACCTACATCGGGAATTTTCCACCACATCGAAACCAAAGGACCACCAGTCTTTTCACGCCCTCGCCGCCTGCGCCCTGAGCTCCTGAACACAGCCAAAGTAGAATTCAACAAACTACTGCAAGACAACATCATTCGCCCTTCAAGGAGTCCCTGGGCATCGCCTCTTCACATGGTTCCTAAACACCCGGCGAGTGGAGGGTGTGTGGCGACTACAGAGCCCTGAATCTCGTCACCAAACCTGACAGGTACCCTATTCCGCATGTCCAGGACTTTCACCACAAACTTCATGGCAAGACTATCTTCTCGAAGATCGACTTGGAGCGTGCCTTCCACCAGATCCCAGTAGCGCCTGCAGATACCCAGAAGACAGCCATCACCACTCCGTTTGCACTCTTCGAGTACACTTTCATAAGTTTTGGCCTAAGCAATGCAGCACAGACTTCCAGAGGTACATGGACCATATGCTTCGCGACCTCGATTTTGTCACCGTCTACATTGACGACATCCTCGTCGCATCTTCGACGCCTGCCGAGCACCGCCACCACCTACAACTCCTTCTCCAACGCCTGCAGAACAACAACATGAAAGTTCATCCTGCTAAGTGCGTCTTTGGAACCTCGGCCATCGATTTCCTCGGTCACAGAGTCTCGCCCAATGGCATACAACCCCTACCACAGAAGATAACTGCAATTAGGGAGTTCCCCAAACCTGAAACGGCGAAGAAACTCCGAGAGTTCCTGGGTTTAGTCAACTACTACCACCGCTTCATTGACAAAGCTGCCACCGTCCTAGCCCCCCTACACGACCTTCTCAAGGGACGCCCAAAGAAGTCTCACAAGCCTCTCGTGTGGACTCAAGAGGCTGCTACGGCATTCACCACTATCAAACAGCACATTACACGCCTCACCCTCCTGGCCCACCCCGCACCTGACGCCCGGACCACTCTCACAACAGACGCTTCTTCTACTGCAGTGGGCGCCGTCTTACAGCAGGAGATCAACGGAATTCTCACGCCCGCTGCTTTCTTCTCACAACGGCTTCAACCACCACAACTCAAGTACAGCGCCTTTGATCGAGAACTCCTGGCCATATACCTGGCTGTCAAACATTTCCAGCACTTCGTCGAGGCCCGTCAGTTCACCATCTTCACTGATCACAAGCCCCTCGTCCACGCCTTCGCTTCAGCTTCCCAGTCACATACACCTCGTGTCCTGCGCCACTTGGCTTACATCTCGGAGTTCTCCAGCGACGTCCAACACATTAAAGGCAGC